TCCATTTTAAGTTGGTAAATCAGCTGAATTGTTATTGATTTTATATTAAAAGGGATATCTCCCTTCCAATTCCTTGCTATTATTATTTTGCAGGCCATTAAACAGTGAATAATTAAAAATTGATTTATTTTATTTAATCTTGGCCATTTATAATGTAACAACATCATTTCTGGTTTTAAAGACATTTTAACACCGCATAGCCTATGGATGACAAGCTGAGCCCACTGCCATACAACAATCACTTGTTTACAAGACCACCACATATGAACATAATTTCCTTTTTCCTCTTTACATTTCCAACACTTTGTGTCTCTAGAAACATCAAATTTCGCTATTTTCGTTGGCGTCATATACCATTGGTTAACAAGCTTAAAGTGAGTCTCTATCAACACAAAGGAGTGGACATATTTATTAATTTTTTGTAGGATAGATATCCATTCAGATAGTTCTATGTTTAGTTTTAGTTCACTATTCCATTTTTTAATAGCATTAGGCAGATCAGAATCATCCAATAAATCTAACATCCTAACAAATCTAGAGAATAACTGCTTTGTCTTATTCTGGTATAATATTGATTTTAATATATCATACATCTTACCCTCTTTTACTAACTCAACTTTCTCCAAATAATGTTTCACTCTAAAATAAGTATATACATCTTTAACAGAGATCTTAAACTCCTCTACCAGCATTTTATAAGTTTTAATTTTATTCTCTTTAATCAGATCTTTTATACTATGTATTCCTTTTTCTTTCCATAGTTTTAAGGAGATACTCTCCATGTTTAATTCTAATATTTCTATTTTTTGAAAATCGAATATTTTATTATCCAAGTCAATTTTTTTCCTTATTTTTTGCCATATTGGAGTAATCTGTCCTAAAATGTACGATCTGGATAAGTTGTATTTTATTGAACTCCAAAATAAGTCTAAGGTATCACTGTGTTGGCTAGATTCTGATTCTGACTGCCACCAGACTTCCTCTTTATTTTGTTTTATTTGACTAACCATTACATGCATAATAATTCCTGCTTCATAATATTTTCTTATGTTTGGATATCCTAGGCCTCCCTTCTTCATTCCTCTTGCTAATGTTCCAATTTTAATTCTGGGTTTTTTCCCTTGCCATACAAAATTAGAGAAGGCCTTATTGATCATTGTCAACCATGCATTCGGGATTTCTAATGGAAGCATTCTGAACATATAAATCCATTTTGGCAAGACATATGATTTTAGAATATTTATTCTTCCTCCCCAAGATACTTCTAATTTTCTCCATTCTTTCAGATTCTTATTAGTTTCTTTTAGAAGATCCATAAAATGAATTCGCATGGTACTATCTACCTTTCTACAAATTTTAATTCCTAAATATAAAAACACTTTAGCTTTAGTAAAGCCATATGTTTCTTGATAGGAATTTATTTCTTGCTTTGATATATTGATATATATAGCACTTGATTTTGTTTTATTTAATTTATAGTTTGATACTACACTATATGTATCAATTTCTGACATTGCATTTAACAATGATGTAGAATAACTCAAAAATAGAATAGTATCGTCAGCATATAGAGATATTTTCAATTCTTTCTGTTTTGCTTTGAATCCCTTAATATTTTCATTATTTCTAATTCTGTTAGCTAAAACCTCTAATGTTAATATAAACAATAAGGGGGACAAAGGGCAGCCTTGTCTGGTCCCATTACTCAATTTAAACCAGTCGGAGCAAATGCCCGGACCGATTGTTCTCGCCGTTGGATCTATGTATAGAGCCAAAATTGCATTAAGCAACCATCCCTGTATACCCACTTCTTCTAGGGTAAGCTTCATAAAGTCCCAGCTGACCCTGTCAAAGGCTTTTTCAGCGTCTAAAGACAGGATCAGCATGGGATTTTCTTTCTTTTGTGATATATCTAATACGTCAATCAAGCGTCTAATATTATTACTTGACATTCTGTCTGGAACGAAACCTGTTTGATCAGGATGGATTAACTGTTTTATAACTTCTTTTAATCTGCTGGCTATGATAGAAGAAAATATCTTGATATCTACATTTATTAATGATATTGGGCGATAGCTTTGTACTTTAGTTGGATCTTTCCCTGGTTTCAAAATAGGTAAAATATTTGCTTTAAGCATTTCATCTGGGAATCTGCCCTTTTTAACAGCAGAATTAAAAGTATTTTTTAAATGTATTGTCAGATGAGATTTCATTGTCTTATAGAATTTATTTCCAAATCCATCCGGACCTGGCGTTTTGAGGGTTTCTAATCTGTCTATCATGATATTGATCTCTTCTTCCGTAATCTCTTTGTTTAGTTTATTTACCTGTGACTCTGTTATTTTATTCAATTTTGCTGATCTAATATATTTTTTTATTATTTCTGAAGGAGTGATAACTGAAAGACTATATAGATTGGCATAGTACTCATTGAATGCTTTCCCTATCTGTTCTGGTAGAAGGGAGATGTTGTCGTTAAAGATTATTTTATCGACCTTATTGGTCGTATTTCTTTTTTTCAACCTATTAGACATTATTTTATCAGCTCTGTTAGATTTATGGTAATATTTAACTTTAAGTTTATGCATATTTATTTTAATTTTTTCATAAGTTTTTTCCTGAATCTCAGATTTAATTTTCTCTATTTTTAACTGAGTATCCTTAGTTGGATTTTCGTTATTTTTTTTATTTAGTTTATATAATTCAATATAGAGATCTTGTATATTTGCACCTTTTTTTTTTTCTTTAATTTATTAAGCATTATGCAATATCCCCTTATTACTGCTTTATATGAGCACCATAGAATGTCATTCTCCACAAGTCCATTATTATTTTCCTCAAAATAACAAATGGTCATTTTATCTATATAGTCTTTATATTCCTTATTTGATAATAATGAATCATCTAACCTCCAGGTTATAGTTTCATTACTCTTTGATTTATTACTGTTTAGTTCCAGACACACGCTATTATGATCTGACCATACTACTGGTTTAATTTCTATTTTATATGTTCTGTCTATTAGTTTTAAATCTCCAAATATAAGATCTATCCGCGAGTATGAATCATGGGGCCAGGAGTAAAACGTAAATTCTTTCGCTGCAGGATTATTAAGTCTCCATATGTCAAATAGGCCTTCTCTTTTCATCAAATTATTAAAAGTCCTTGCATTTTTTAAAACTTGTTTGTCCCAAATCAGATGTTTTTCAGAGAACTTATCTAATAGGGGATCTTGTATACTATTAAAGTCCCCTGCATATATCTTTATTCCTACACCTACTTTCTCAACCTTATTAATTACTTTTCTCAATAGACATAAGGGGTTTTTATTAGGCAGATAAATATTAATTAAAGTGAAGAGTTCCTCATTAATTGTGACTATTAAGATAATAAATCTTCCCTCCAAATCTGTTTCCATAAATTTTATATTTATTTTTAGATCTTTTGCAAAAAATATTGCAACTCCTCCCTTTTTCCCCTCCTCTCTAGAGGAGCAGAATTTTAAAGGATAAAAACTGCTGGTCCATCTCTTTTCATCCTGTTTACGCCAATGTGTCTCTTGGACCATAGCAATTTGAACATGTTCCTTTTTTAAATATTCTTGAAAAGCTTGTCTTTTTTGCGGAATATTTAGGCCTTGAATATTTAACGTTATTATTTTAACCATTGTCATATATTATTTTCTTGTTTGGATAGTCTAGTGAACTCTCTAAAAAAAAATAAAAAAATAAACAATTCACATTACAATACATACACGAAACACCTTCAAGTATACTAAGTACTTGTAGTCTGTTTCCTATCATTCCATAGACCCTAAAAAGAGTCAAAAAACATTTTTCTTGGTGGGTTTTAATACCCACTTTTAACCGTTTTACAGGTTACGGCGAGGAAGACTATTTCTCGTTTTGGAGGAGCCAAATATATATTATCTTTAACGTTCCCTACTTCCTCTTTCTTCTGCTCTATGAAGAGTTATACTACCACCCTTCTCTTCTCTTCCTCCTCTAAAGCGAGGAGAAAAAAGGAGGGGGAGACGAAGAGGAGAGAAAAAAAACAAACTAATTTTTGTCTGTATCACATTCTTTGATCCCTTTATTTCATTTATTTTACTACTCTTATCCATTTATATATATCATGATAGCAAAGCGAAGGAGAGAGACGAAAAAAAAAAAAAAAACACACACTTTACTTATTAAGTGCCCCTCTTTCCCTTTATTCTTTTTTTCCATTGTTATATACGTGTTCCTATAATTTGTTCTCAGAACAATTATTAATTATCAATCCTCCTTCATTCTATTTCTTTCTATTACCCATTTTTTCCCCTTTTTCTTTTCTTACTTCTTCCTTTCTTCTATATTCTATACAATATTTGTGTTTATTATTTATAATAAAAAACTTTCCCTTTTTCATTCCCTCGTCTTGTGCCCACTTTAACTATTTTGATTTGTATTCACCTTTTATATTTATAAAGTGAAACCTTACATTTCCTATTATCCCCTATTATTATCAAAAAAAATAAAAAATAAAAATTATATATTTTCTTCGTGTTTTTTTTTTTTTTTCTACCAAATTGTATCTTTTTCGGTGCCAACTCTTATATCTACTTAATTTACCATTGTGCAGCAGTTATTCTATATTTACCGCTTTCTCCTCAAACAATTTAATGTGAAATACATACTTCCAACTAGTTTCCTCAAGTGTTTCTTATGAGTGAATCACATTACTACCATATACGTGTTTTCTATTAACCTATGGATTCCCTCACTATATACCTTCTCCTTCATTGGTAACAATTTCTTCGCTATATCTTCTACATGTTGATTCAATGTCCTTTCTATTGTTCTAATCTTCTTTGGATCAATTTATTTCTGCTTATACTATTAAATCTTCAAACAACTTTTTCTTTTCTTTTCTTTTCTCTCTCCTCCTTCATCCGCCATAATTTTTTATTTTTTTTCGCCTCTTCCTCTTCCCCCTCTTCTTCATCCCCTTATATAAAGTCATTTCTCTTTCTTCCTTAACCATTCTTCAATCTGAGATGGGGTCGTGAATATCTCACGTCTTCCGTCTGTAATTATCTTTATTTTACTGGGGTAGATCCATGAATATTTTATATTTAGTCTTCTTAGTGAACCAGTAACCGTCATAAATTTCTTTCTTTGTTGTCTGGTGTAGAAAGAAAAATCTTGAAAAATCTTAATATCACCAAGCTTTTCTGTATTAGACTGATTTGTTCGAGCTGCATATAGTATAGCTTCCTTAAATTGATGGGACTGCAAATTAATTATTATATCTCTCGGTAGGTGTTGAGAAACCGAACTAGGTTTACTTAAACGATGGTATTGATCCATTTTGGTATTTAGAATTGACACTTCTATTTTGAGTGTTGCCCATAAAGTATCCAAATACTCAGGTATTTTATCTTGTGTAATTTCTTCTGGAACATTTCTTATTCTTAGGTTGTTTCTTCTTAAACGATCTTCCAAATCTCCTAGTTTTCCTTCTATTTGTCTCATTTGATTATACAGCTGCTCATTTTGTTCTTTGTTTGCTCTGCTTTCGTATTCCAAAGCTGTGATTTTTTCTTCACTTTGCTTTAGTTTTTCCAATATTTCCAGAAACTGTTTTTTTGTTTCTGCTGTGTTTTTATTAAATTCAGCAGTTATTGCCACCAATTGTTCTTCTAAACAGTGTTTTAGAAAATCTGTTGTAATATAATTTTCTGTTTGACTGGAAGGACTTTGATTAAAATCTTCACTTTTTGATGAATACATAATTGAGCTTTCAAGATTTTTTTCTACATTAGATTTTTGTCCAGGTGAAAAGAAACTTGAGGGGTTTTTACTTTTTTCTGTTTGTTGATCCTGCTTTGCTGCTTTCTTGATGGCAGCTTTTCCTGATGACTTGGTAGCCATATCTTTTTATCTTTTTTTCCTCTTCCTCACTCCCCTTATTTCTTCTCCTTTTCCTTTAGTAAGAAATTTTTCAGTGTTTGCTTTTTCCTCTTTTTTTTCCCACTTCCTTTCCCCTCTTCCTCTCCTTTCTCTCACTTCTCTCTCTTTTGTTTTATAGAGATTTTATTTATAATATTCTTTATATTTGTTTATCTACTGCCAGTTTATCTTTTTCTCATCTCAGCATATACATCAGGATAAATAGAAATAGGGGAGGGTGGAAGTACTTAACTTATCTTCAGTTCGTTCTCCTCACACAAAACTCTTCAGATAGCGTTTCCATATCACTTCATATAAGTAGGTTTACGATCAAATTTCTTGTCGACTTACTGCCGGAAGCAGAGACTGCAGAGATTTACTGCTCACAACACTTGGAGTCTTGTCAGCCTTTTTATCAGCCTTTTTAGCACCGTTCCTGCCTCGTATATCGGCAGAACGCCGCTTCCTCCTCCATCGCCGAGACGCCTCCTCGCCTCAGGATGCGTACATGCGTACGTGCGTGCGGACCTCCGCCCACCTCTACGTCATCACGCAAACCCAACTTGGGGACAAACATATCCAAAACTCACTTGAATAGGTTCAAGGGGTTTAAATGTTAGGTCGAAGTCCTTTGTTATCACTTGCAAGCATGGCTTTTCCTGCCCAAACCAGTTCCCACTGGTCTGGCAGTGTCTCTGGGTCAACGCCCTGCTGGAGAACAATGGAGCCAGGGGAGGGGAAGAGCCACACCTTCCCAGGGATTCAAAGGGGCAGAAATAGTCTTTTAAAAGCCAATAAACCCAAATAGTCTTTAAAGGGCCATACAACCCAGGGCCATAGTCATGAGGCAGTAGGCTGGCAATTAGGCTTCTCCATAAGCCAAGGACACAGGGCAATTTGTCACATAAAATCCCAGTTACAAACGGGAGTTTGTAACATTGACCAATGGTGGACCTGTGGCTGGCTTCAGGCTGTTCATCATTACCACGGCCAGACATACGTTGATGGTAATAAATGTTTTGTATTCCTAGGTTTTAAAGGGGCAGAGGACAGGTGGAAATACAGGAAAAACAAAGTATGGTAGGTGAGGACACTGGGTTAAATCTGAGCTACAGTAACAACACCTCACATATAACTATGGGACTGTAGAAGTGTGATGCAGTTTCACACTTTCATCAACCGGATTAATATAGAGCTGCAATGTAACAAGCCCCTCAAAGATGACAGATCATAGGGAGAGTGGGCATTTGTATAGAGAAAAATGGTGAGAAGGTAATTGAGCTGCCTAGAGTGCAAGCTGTAGGAGGGGTCATAATTTAGGGATTACACAATCTATCATGGGTGAAACTGAAAGCAACTTTACAACTTTCATACACCAGGTATCATTCTTAATTAACAGATAAATAAACACAATACCATTAAATCTTAAATGGCTGAAAACGTAAATCCATTCGGATTCACTATTAATTATCAACACTATGTTTCCTATCCCTATTGTACCATGTATCCTATTATGATCCATCACTGTCTGCCTAAGGTTTGGGGGAGTTCACAATACATTTAACTGCTGAATGAGTTGTTTTGGAATATAACTCCAATCAAGCACAGTCAGTATTTGGCTTAACTTGAATGGAGGAATGGAGTTTTATTCCACAAAAGGTCCAGTAGAAAATGCAGAGAATGTGCATGTCACAGGGCTCTCTCTATCTGTCAAATAGACAGTATGTATAGTAATTACATTTGACAGGCAGTGACAGCGAACATGGGTAAGGGTGAGAGTATATTTGTTTATTTGTGTGTGTATAGTGTAAAAGAATGTGAGCGCTTGTGGAAGAATGAGTGCAAGTAAAAATTAAAAACAGACAACCCACAAAGACAAGCATATTCAGCAAACACCCACACTCATTACACTCAGCCACTATACACAATTACACTATGCCTTTCTACACACAACAACCATCAGTCAACCCCACACACATCACATTCAGCACATATCACAATCAACCATACTCACTGAGAGGTGCTCCGTGATAAACCTGTGCGCTCTGCACATATTGGTGTGTGTGATACACTTAAAGTATGCCATTTTAAGCACTCCTTTGTTGTGTTGCTGTTGTGGTGTGACCTAAATATGAATATTAATCTCTTAATACATAATAATTAAGCAATACGGAACAACATTAATATTTTTATAATTCATGGTATTATGGTCGAATATGTGGATAGAAAATACACAAAACGTTGTAATATTAAATGTATATTTAATATAACTATAACAAATAAACAGATGCTAGCAGATTGTCAATTTACTACAATTATGATACAATACAAAACTACAACATAATACTTACAAAAGGTTGCTACATGTTACACAACATTTTATTTACAAGGCCCCAGCCCTTTGGCTGGGGTTAAGTCAGAGCTGCTACTACATCTTTCAGGTACAGGCAAAGAGGCAAAAAGAGACAGAGTTTTCTCCTCCATCTGGTTTTATTCAGTGTAAGTAGGCTGGCCTGTGATGTCACTGCCAGAAGCACATGTCTTCCTACACACTCCCCCTAGTGGTGCCCCCAAAGCATTACACTAAATATGCTTTCTTTATGATGTAAAGTCATTAATTAATAAATACCATTACAAACCACCCTTTGACTTATGTCATAAAACAAGCATTTATAAAACCAGTAAATTGTGAATCTTCCCCATTTTAACACTACCTGCCCTACAACAAAACCCACCTTTTGAAGAACGATACCCATTTACCCATTAATTATTACCCATTAACATTTTATTGCTTATATAAATGTTCACCATTGAGCACATGCATTACCAGTTGGGAAATAGGCACATACCCACCCTTATAATAATGAACAACTCAAACCATGTTTTATTAGATTAACCAATGATATTGTGTTCATGTGAGGATGTGTTTTGGAGCTAAATATAGTATTAGACACCACAAACTCATAACACCTATGAATCATGGCACAGACCGACTCGATTTCTGTAGCCTCTGGCTGGTCTGTGTGCCTGGAATTTTCACAAACATTAGTCCTGGAAACTGGATACTCTATTCTTCGACAGTCTCATAGAACATACGCATGGAGACAGGGATGAATGAAACAGTTCATGTGATCAAGGACTTTTGTGTGTTTGTGGTCACATTGTTTTGTTTTTTTCTTTCTTTATACCATTAACCACCTTGACGTAACAGTTTCCTGCTCCTGATGCATTTTGTTCCGACTCTCACCACTCTTAGCTGCAATATTTTTTCTCCTTACAGCAACAGTTGAGCATAGTGTCCAGTGCTTCTTCTTCTTCTGCTTCTGCTTAAAATATCCTTGCTTGAAAGTTCTTGAATGAAAACACAGGCAATGACGAACACAAACATAAATAATAACTGTGCCAATCATCACAAGTACTATTTGATTGTGGTGTCTTAACCATATTTTTTCCTATGGCGTTTGGATAAATACCTACACACCTCTCTTCACATCCAGCACACTCCTGATTCACAGATAAACACAATATCACTGCTGTATCTACCAATTTAACCCAAACACTCATTATTACTGCTGCATTTACCAATTTAATCTAAACACTCGTTATCATTGCTGTATTTAACCAATTTAATCTAAACATTAACCAAAACAATTACATTCCTATTTACCACCCTTCTATTTAAACATGTATAGATAACCCAAAATGCCTACTTTCTCTTATCCCTCTTATTTTTTTTGTTTTGTTTTTTGAACTGCAACCACTCATGCACTTTACACAGACACAAATCAAGCACCTACTGGACAATGGGGTTCCCTCGTTAGAGCCCTCCCACCCCAGTTTGGTTTACACAAAAATACCCCCTGGTCCCTATGGGTCAATTCCCCCCTTTCCCAGGCATACATACATACATACATACAACAATAATAATACATAAGGGTTTCAATTGCAATACAATCACTAGAAATAAGAGAACAGTATGCACAAAATCATAGCATAGACATGTTAAATAGACAATAAAATAAAACATTCAATAGCTCATCAAAGGTCAACATTTAAACACTGGTCTGCATCTGATATTCTATCTGTGTTCCAATGTCCACCCCTGGTTTCTGCTATATCTGAAAAAGGTAAGAAAACAGATCAGGATTACTTTTCCTTGTCACTTATAGCGTATACTGCCAAATCCTTTACTTAGCATATATACATATATACACATATAAATACATTCCCTAAACTTTTCATTTTATAAACAATTTGTTCAACAAGGTAACTTTCTTAATTTTCTACTTGGCTCTTAAAATAAACAATCAGCTAATAGCTGCTTTCTGCATCTTCTCTGCAATTCAGGAAACACATTTCTAGCCAACCTAAACATGTTTAATAACTCTCCACCCTTTGGTTAAATTATAGAGGAGTGAACCACAACACCTCTTCCGCCTCTGAAAGGATATAGGTCAATATGTCTCAAAGTTCAACACTTCTGACAGCTATGAGTGACTCCCTATTAATTTCTAGCCTTTCCACGGACATGCTTGCACCTCGCGGCTAAGGGCCTGCACAACTAACCACCCTGTGATGGCAGTGGCTTTCCGCATGGGGGTGACCGCCCCCGCAAAATTATAGAGGAGCAAACATACAGCAGCCTCTTTTCCGGCTCGATTAAAGGTTCTGGGCCAATATGTCTGCAATTTAACCAGTACACTCACGTATCACTTATTGTATATTTCCTGGTCTCTCAGGAATTTCTATTAAATAGCGTATCCCCTTCCCAGGGCAATATACAACAAAAACTAGTCACCAAGGGTCTCTATGGTCATGATAGGCCACCCTACCACTAGTGTAATACGCCCTTTTTTTAAAATATATTTCCTGGTCTCTCAGAGATTTTGCCTATCCCTTTCCCAGAGCAATATATATAAACAATTACAAATAAGTTACAAAACGCTACTTATAAGTAATACAGGGTTTCAAATAATAATACA